AAAAAAAAAAAAAGATCATGTAATCATTTGATCTTGTGTTTGAAAACAACACTTAAGTATTCTGAGGATGGGTATACTTTGTCAGTCATATCAATCTATTTAATTGAGTTCCTTAAATTAGCAAACAAATGAGTAAACAGCAACCTTAACACTGATGGTTAAAATTGTCACCTGCTAGATCAAGCCTACCCTGAGGCTCCTTAAAGTCTGCTTCAAACTGAGAAGCCAACTTTCCACAAAATGGAAGCAGCCTTTGCATGAGTACACATTAATATACTCATATGTGTATAAATGTGTATAATATATGTATAAATGTGAATATACATTTATGTGTGTGTGTGTGTGTATGTGTGTGTGTGTGTGTGTGTGTGTGTGCATGCGCACATGTATATTATGTCAACTAATCAACAAAAATATACTGGATTTCCCAGAAACATCAGACTCAGACATCTGGATCCAATATCTCAATGCCTTTGTTCATGAAAACCAATGATTAGAAACAAGAAAACATACACTTCCAGCATAACATAAGAAAGTTCTAGAGTCAAAAGGTTGACCTTAGCTGATAGACTGTTTATATTATAATAAAAATATGCCAACATAGTCACTTACAGGATTTTGAGGATTTAGTTTCATTTTCATCCCTCGTATCATCTCAAAATCTTTTATAGTTCTGTAAAACAGGTTTGTTATTATTAGGACAAAATTTTAATCATTATAAAAGAACTAATTTGCACACATCACTTCCTAATATTCATGATAAAATTAGAATTAATTTGTAGTACAAATATAAACAAGTACTAACCCCAAGTTTATATGTGTTAAAAGAGAGAGCAATATATACCGTATTTGCCGGCATATAAGACGATTTTTTGGCCCTGAAAAATATGCCTCCAAGTGGGGGGTCGTCTTATACACCAGGTACACTTCAGATAGACTGCCCATAGTGCTTGCCCCGTGCCATAGTGGCCTCCCGATGCCCGCCCACTTCATTCCACATACCGTTCAGGCANTTATACCAGACAAAATAGAGTTTAAAACAAAGGCTGTACCAAGAGACAAAGAAGGACCCAGTAATCCCACTTTTGGGTATTTATCTGAAGAAACCCAAAACACTAATTCAAAAAGACATATGCATCTATACATTCATTGCAGCATTATTTACAACAGCCAAGATGTGGAAGCAACCTAAGTGTCTATTAATAGATGAATACATAAAGAAGAGGTGATATATATATACTGGAATATTACTTAGCAATAAAAAAAATGAAATCTTGCTATCTGCAACAACATGAATGGATCTAGTGGGTATTATGCTGAGTGAAATAAGTCAGACAAAGAAAGACAAATACCATAGAATTTCACTTATATGTGGAATCTAAAAAACAAAATAAATGAAGCAACAAATTTGGAGATACAGAGAACATTTTTATGGTTGCCATATGGGAGGAGGGTTGGAGGGATGGGTGAGAAAGGGGAAGGGATTAAGAAGTACCAATCGGTTGTTACACAGTAGTCATGGACATGTAGGGTATAACATAAGGAATATAGTCAATAATATTGTAATAACTGTGGATGGTGTCAGATAGTTACTAGATTTATCAGGGTGGTCACTTTGTAAGTTATGTAAATGTCTAATCACTATTCTATACAACTGAAACTAATATAATATTGTATGTCAACTGTAACTGAAAAAAACTATTTTAAAAAGTAATTAATTAATTAATTTAAAAAGACACTGCTTTCATGTGGCTTCCCAGACCACACACTCTGTTCACTTTCCTTCTCCTCTCTGCTCCTTCTTGGTGGTCTTTACTGGTATTTCCTCATATCTCTGACTTCTTAAGCTTGGAGGGCCCCAGAGCCCAGTCCGTGGACTTATGGTCTTTAAATGTAGTCAATCTCATACAGTCTCGTTACCTCAAATAAAGCCCCAAGTTTATATCTCGAGCTCAGAACACTCTCGTCAGTTCCATAGTTGTATGTCTAACTGCCTACTCAATGTTGCCACTTGAACACCAACTGGCATCTCACACTTAACTTGAACCAAACCAAGCTCCTGGTTCTCCCCATCTTAGTTAACGTAACTCACTGTCTTTCCAGTTACTCAGGTCAAAAACCATGGCTCTCCTTTCAAAATGCTATATATCCAGAACCTGGCCACATCTTACCACTTCCACTGCCACTTTGGTCAAGCTGCCACCGTTGTCATCACATTTAGAAACTGAAAAACAGTTTCTAAATGGTCTCTCTTCCACCCTTGCCTCTCTGCCGTCTATCTCGACCATCAGCAGTACATGATAGACACACCATTATAATTTAAGTGATATCATCTCATTTCTTTGCTCAAAATCCTCCAATGACTTCCCATCTAACTTGAGGATACACGGATAACAAAAGATGAATACAAATCATGTGCATACATTTTTTGGTACCCTGGTAAAATGTAGTATAATATAAAACAATCATGTGTTATTATAATGATCTGGTGACAACAGCAACTAAAGAAAAACATACACAATGATATAATATCTATTTTGGAGTTAAATTATATGGAACAAATTGTGTTTTAAATGGCCTTTACAAAAAAGCGAGAAACCAGATAGGGTGGATTTAAGAAAACTTTGGAGAAGATAAGACCATACTAGAGCAAGAAGGGATTAACATAGACAGAATAAAGACAGGATAGAATTAAAGATGTTATCTTCCTCCCACAGAGTTCACTTCTGGTGTTCCTTCCCTCCATGAATGGCATGTCCATCCAGATGCACAACTAGAAACCAAGGGGAGCCAGACATCACACTGTCTCTTCCATCCTCTCAACCCATCACCAAGTCTTATAAATTCAGCCTCCAAAGCATACCTTAAGTCTGAGCCACCATCACGACCACCCAGATCCTGACTCTGTGCCTCAATTATAGTTGTAACTTAATAAATGTCTTCGANCTTAGACATGTCTAATTTTCTCTGAGTTTTATTGATATAATAAATACAGTTTATAAGCATGATTTACTGAAAATTAGATTTTAAAAATCAATGTTTTTCAAGGTAACTATTTTTATTTTGATATACAGCTGCAGAATATTCTATTCAGAACCAATCCCAAAAGAATATATAGCAAAATTAGAACATTAAAAATTTAAGCTCTGTTAGAATTTTTAAAAGTACTTCAGCTGTAAATCTTTGTATTTTACAAACCCATCAAGACAGACTGTATTGTGTAATTATCATTATTCCCCATTATAGGAAAGTTTTCATGTGTATTTTTGAATTTAGCATTTTTTGCCATTGACTTATATATACAGAGCTTTTATATGTATTTTAGAGTTTGCCACAAACATTGTTTTTATATTTTCCAGATGATCTTTTATATGGTTTTAAGTTTCTTGCCCTCTTCAATTGAGGTTATCTCCTTTCTAAGTAAAATAAAAGGCTAAGAAAAGAATGGAGGTTAACCTAAACCAAGAAGCCACGGGGTTTCTTGTCACTGTCATTAAAAGTACAAGCCTCATATACAGTAATCCTAAAAACTCTACCTTAAGTACCATATTAGATGGTATTAGCAATTTCAGGGAAAGAAAAACATTATTTAGTTTAAGTGAAATTTCATTTCAGGGTATCATACCAGTTACCACAGAGAACTGTTTTTGAATAAATCTCTGTGTACGCTTACTTCTAAATAACTATTTTTTAATAACTTTCACCCATTTTGTTTTCCTAGCTATATTATATATGAAAATACCTCAATTAATCTAATTGGAAAATTGTCACTTTAAAAATAATGATTTTGAAACCCCCCAAAATAAATAAATGCCTCACTGGAAAATGATTTCCTAATTCACCTGTCACATGAATACCCACCTTAACCTTTGTCTGCCCCCTTTTTACCCTCTTCCTCCTCTCTGCTGAAAGCTCACGGTTCCTCCACTGCCTAGCTCAAGTTTCACTTCCTTCTTGAAACCTTCAACAGCCACATAAGCATCAAACAGACAAACTTCCCGAACTTCTAAAATCCTATGGCATTGTTTTGTCTACTCATTTGGCACTGAAAAGACACGAACCTGGATTATTATTTATCTTTATATGTACATATCTGAGCTCCCCAACTAAATTTTAAATCATTTAAGGACATAGGTCACATCGTATGTGACCATGTGCACAACCGTTTAACTCTAAACACATCATAATACCACACTAACTGCTTAGTAAGCAATGGTGATTTTCTGATGATATCTGGCATTTACCACTGCAGGTCCAGTACCTTCCAGTCCACATCACTCAAGTCAATGGTCAATTCCTAACCTTCTTCAGCTTTGACCTGCCCTCAGCATCTCAGTCAGTTGGTCATTCTTCGCCTTAAGACACTACTTTCAAGATGTTTCTGGTCAAGATGGTAGAGTAGGTAAACTGCGCACACCTCCTCCAACAACCACATCAAAATTACAACTAAACTAGAGAACAACCATCACTGAGAATTGCCTGAAGTCTACCCGAACAGAAGTCCTATAACTAAGGACATAAAGAAGAAGCTATGTGGAGACTGCTAAGAGGGGCAGAGATGCTGATTGGGCTGGTTCCATACCCACGTGTGGCGGTTAAAAATCAGGAGGGCTATCTCAGCTGTGGAGGTCCCCCCATAGGAATAATGGGTCCCACCCCACACCAAGATCCCTAGCCCAGGGTTCCAGTGCTGGGAAGAGAAGTCCCCATAACTTCTAGCTGTGAAAACCAGCAGGGATTGTGGCTGAGACAGAGGGTGGCTGCAGTCACAGGTGTTCCTCTTAATGGGCCCACGTACAGACTTACTCACTAATGGACTCACTCACTCTGAGCTTCATGGATGGGGCAGTAGCTCAAAAAGTGCCAGGGACATATGGGAAGGAACTAAATTGTCTGGCTTCAGGACAAGAGCTGGAGGGACAGCTTCCTCCCGGACAGAAGTACTGCAGAAGGCATTGTCCTTTACTGAGTCTTCCCCATACTCAGGCTGCCATATCTGAGTCTCCATCAACCTGGGGATTCTAACACCCCACCCCACCCAACTTGCCAGTCCATCCAAGCCACTTCCAGTGGCTTTCCCATACAAATGACCTATCCTAGCTCATGCTGTAGACTTTCCTAAAACCTCTCAAAGGTTCACAAATCCCAAACAAGCAGCATCTGGCCTCAGTGTGCCCCATGCCTCTTGCTCAGCAAACCCCAAGTCCAGCACTCGTGGCAGCTAGACTCAGTTCACAGCTTAGCCTCTCCCAGGCACATCCAAGCCCAGCACAAATAGCAACCATCTGCAGATCACTTTGTAGCTCATACCAAGTGGCCCCAAGCAGGACACAGGCAGTGGCTGACCTTGGCCTTCACCAGAGCCCCTCCCAAGAGGCCCCAGAACCAACACACCCGGTGGCCAGCTTCAGACCACACCAAAGCACCAACCAACTACCTTCACAAATGATACACCCAAAGGGCAGGCTAAGCAAGCACCAGAGCCTCACTAAAGCAAATCCTGCTCCATAGGGTCAGCCCCTGCACAACAGCTCCTCCACTCTAGTCATGGCCAGTCCTCACAGCCAGTCAACCTGAAAGTCAATCCCACCCACTAACATGCCAATGGCAATCAAGGCTCAACTACAAAAGAAGGGCACAGACAACCGTATGAGAGACATACCTGGAACACTCGGCTCAGGTGACCAGGGAGACTGGGTGACCAGGGTGACCACTGGGCCCCATATGACACCAACTACGTAAGACCATTCTACCAAGACCGGGAGACATTTTTAGCTCTCCCTAATAAACAGAAACAAACAAAGAGGCAGCCAAAGTGAGGAGATAAAGAAACATGTCCCAAATGGAAAACAAAAACAAACAAACAAAAAAACAGAACAAAACTACAGAAAAAGAGCTAAACAAAATAGAGACAAGCAATCTACCAGGCACAGAGTTCCAAATACTGGTTATAAGGATGCCCAATGATCTCAGCAAGAACTTCAACAAAGACATAGGAACTATAAAAATGAAGATAAAAACCATAAAAAAGAATCAGTCAGAAATAAAGAATACAATAACTGAAGTGAAAAATACATTAGAGAGAATCAGCAGTAGATCAGATGCAGAGGATCAAAAAGGCAATTTAGATGATAAGGTAGCAAAAAACACCCAATCAGAACAGCAAAAAGAAAAAAGAATCCAAAAAAATTAAGATGTTTTAAAGGTCCTCTGGGATAATATCAAGTGTACCAACATTCACATCACGGGGGACCAGAAGAAGAGAGAGAGCAAGAAATTGAAAATCTATTTAAAGAAATAATGCTGGAAAAGTTCCTTAACCTGGTGAAAAAAATAGACATAAAAGCCCAAGAAGCACAAAGAATGACAAATAAGATGAACCCAAAGAGGTCCACACCAAGGCACATCATAATTAAAATGTCAAAGGTTAAAGACAAAGAGAGAATCTTAAAAGCAGCAAGAGAAAAGCAGTTAGTTACCTACAAGGGAGCCCCAATACGACTGTCAGCTGATTTCTCAACAGAAACTTTTCAGGCAAGAAGGGAGTGGCAGGAAATATTCCAAGTGATGAAAAGCAATGGCATACAACCAAGATTACTCTACCCAACAAAGCTATCATTTAGAATTGAAGGACAGAACCGGCCGAGTGGCGC